CAACAAAGGGTGTCATCAACTTGCGCCGGCCCTTCATTGGCTGCCGATTCTTCTTCTTCTGTAATTTAAGGCAGTGTAGACGCAACTGGGCACAGTACTGCCATCAATCGGTATATAATGTGTAATATTCTAATAGTTTAACACATGTATCTGTTCATATCCTTGGGTATAATCCTGTATTTTGCACATACTGTATGACTGCTAACTGACATAGTTAAGACACTTCAATTGAGCATTATTAATAGTATTAATATCACTTGCACATTTAATTCAAACTTACTTAAAAATGTTAGTAACCCATCTGAAATTAAGCTGCTGAAAAAAAGAGGCAGAATATCCATTTCATCTCTTGTTTGATCCAATTTTATTGTCATCATCATTCTCTTCTGAATGTTTCTGGTTTCTCTGGTTTTTATCTGACAATGGGAAAACATGATATTTCACACAGATCTTGGAAACTGTAATACAGTATACGTCTCACTTCCACAATGGTAACTAAAGGGCTTGCTTTTGAAAGGTTAATTTGCTTAGAGGATTCAAGGACAAGATAGCTCTGACTTCACAGTAAAAATGTGAACATAGAGGAGAACTGGCAGAGTGTTTGTGTAATGCTGATGACAGGAAAGGCATTTTGTTCACAAATATCTAATAGAACCCTTCCTTTGGAGATATTTTAACATGTCATTGTTGGAAAAATACAGGTAGAAATAAACATAACATTAAGCATATATTTGTTTAAGAGGTGTCCATAAGGGTGTCCACCAGTGCACGGGCACCAGGACACCCTAGGTCGATGATGACTAGTGACTTTGATTGATTGATGACTTTGTGGTTGTTTCATCTGACCTCGGGCCATTTGTCTTGGACACTCGGGTGAAGAGAGGGGCAGAGCTGTCAACTGATCACCACCTGGTGGTGAGTTGGATCCAGTGGCGGTGGAGGAAGCTGGACAGACTCAGCAGACCCAAGCGTACTGTGAGGGTCTGTTGGGAATGTTTGGCAGAACCCCCTGTCCAAGAGATCTTTAACTCCCACCTCTGGCAGAGCTTCGACCAGATCCCGAGGGAGACTGGAGACATTGAGTCCGAGTGGACCATGTTCTCCACCTCCATTGCTGATGCGGCCGCTCGGAGCTGTGGCCGTAAGGTCTCCAGTGCCTTTCGTAGCGGAAGTCCCCGACACCGGAAGCAAGGGATGCCATCAAGCTGAAGAAGGAGACCGGGTGGATGAGACCTGCCCTGAGTACCTTAAGTCTCTGGACGTTGTGGGGCTGTCTTGGCTGAAACGCCTCTGCAACAGCGTGTGGCGGTTGGGGACAGTGCCTCTGGAATGTCAGACCAGGGTGGTGGTCCCTCTTTTCAAGAAGGGGGACCAGAGGGTGTGTTCCAACTACAGGAAGGATCACACTCCTCAGCCTCCCCAGGAAAGTCTATGCCAGCGTACTGGAGAAGAGAATTCAACCGATAGTCAAACCTCAGATTCAGGAGGAACAATACAGTTTTTGTCCTGGCCACTGGACCAGCTCTATACCCTCTTCAGGGTGGTGGAGGGTTCATGGGAGTTTCCCAAACCAGTCCACATGTGTTTCATGGAATTGAAGAAGGCATTCAACCATGTCCCTTGCAGAGCCCTGTAGGGGTGCTCCGAGAGTATGGGGTCCAGGGCTCTTTGCTAAGGGCTCTTTGGTCCCTGTACAACCGGAGCAGGAGCTTGATTTGCATTGCCGGCAGTATGTCAGACCTGTTCCCAGTGCATGTTGGACTCCAGCAGGGCTGCCCTTTGTCACTGGTTCTGTTCATTATCTTTGTGGACAGCATTTCAAGGTGTAGCCAGGGGCTGGAGGGAGTCCAGTTTGGGGACCACAGGATCTTCTCTCTGCTTTTTGCAGATGATGTCCTGTTGGTTCCATCAAACCAAGACCTTCAGCGTGCACTGGGACGGTTTACAGCCGAGTGTGAAGCGGCTGGGATGAGAATCAGCACCTCCAAGTGTGAGGCCATGGTTCTCAGTTGGAAAAGCTCCTGCCTCAAGTGAACTAGTTCAAGTATCTTGGGGTCTTGTTCACGAGTGAGGGAAGCATGGAACTGGAGATTGACAGGCGGACCAGTGCCACTTCAGCAGTAATGCGGTTGATGTACCAGTCTGTTGTGTTGAAGAAGGAGCTGAGCTGTAAGGTGAAGCTCTTGATTTACTGGTTGATCTATATTCCTACTCTCACCTATGGTCATGAGCTTTGGGTCATGACCATAAAGGGCAAGATCCCGGATACAGGTAGTCGAAATTAGCTTTCTCAGCACAGTGGCTGGGCGCACCCTTAAATATAGGGTAAGGAGCTCGATCACTTGGAAGGAGCTTAGAGTAGAACCACTGCTCCTCCACAACGACAGGAGCTAGCTGAGGTGGCTCAGGCATCTGTTTCGGATGCCTCCTGGGCGCCTTCCTAGGGAGGTGTTCCAGGCATGTCCCACCAGGAGGAGGCCCTGGGGAAGGGCCTAGGAGGGACTATGTCTCTTGGCTGACCTGGGAACATCTCAGCATTCCCCAGGAGTAGCTGGAGGAAGTGTCTGGAGAGAGGGAAGTCTGGGCATCTCTGCTTAGACTGCTGCCCCCGCAACCTGGTTCCGGATAAGCGGAAGAAGATGGATGGATGGATGTTTTAAGAGTCCCAGTAGGCTAAGTGACCCTGGCACTGGCTCACCTAAATGAAATACCATTGTTAATAATGTTGAGTTAGGCCCACACCTCAGCTTTGGACAGTCCATAAGTAGTCTTAGTTTGCTGTTATAAACAGTATTTAAATAAAATAATGCAGTTTAACAATTTCAGTTTAATATGTTACCTTGGTAATATGATGTACTTCTATCAAACCTAATACAATTTTTTGTTTTTTATTATATCACATGACTTAACACAATTTTTTGTTTTTTATTATATCACTTCTGACAATTGTGACATGTTAATATGTTGTATTTTTCCTCCATTAAATTTTAATTTTTACATCCATTAGTTAAAAGTTAACATTAGAGATAGCTTATTTGACGGTTTTATGGTAATTGCAGCTTTAAGGAGGGTGGTGTCCTAGGGAGGGTGCCACCTGGGTACTTCATACACACTTCTGCTGGACAACATTAAAGCCTCTTATGGGAACCAAGAAACCTGGAAAGCAGTGAATGTGAGATGTACAAGGTCTTCAGGCTCACAATTTCTTTTCTGAATTCAATGGAGGGCAGCTACTTAGAGTTAAGACCAGAAGACCTGTCAGGGCGACCAGGAAAGTCATTGGTGGATCTCAGTGGTGGGGAAAATGTCATGCTGAGGAGGAAGGCCTTTTGATCTATGAAAGCAGGGAACTCTTACATTAGTACAAACCTGTGGAAAATTGTGATACTGTATCTCAGTGGATATGTGTATAATCTGAATTGTTGAATATTTCAAAAAATCTGCAAATGCGTATTTGGATTTGCATGTGTACTGAGATCGGTTGAATGTGTAAAACACCCTGTTAGGTTGTGTTGGTGTCTGTAAAACATCTATACATGTGAATAAGACTTGTGCATATGTAAAACAATCTGAAAATACTGTATATGGACCCCTCCCCCCCCCACTGGAAAGCTGCCAGATTGTTCTTGACTCCTGTTCAGACTTTCCAGTGTTATTCTTGTTACCAGTGATTCCTGTTTTGACCCCAGATTGCCTAACCCTCCTGATTCTGACTGTCTTTTGTGTAATGATTATCGGACTTCCCTCTTTGACCTCTCGCTTGTGGATCCCTCAGCTGTGTGTGTTTGTCGGCACTGACCTTGGACTGGTATTATCGACTTGACTGATTCTGGACTCCTGCACTGTACGCTTGTGTAGCACTCAGTAAAAAGACAGTATTTTCTGTTTAACCTCATCTGGCACTTTAATTGAGTTCACCCTTAATGTTGTTGGCAGCTTTACTCGCAAACCTTGACATTTAGGGGCTGGGAAAAGTTCTTTATTTCCAATTCAGGGATGCCTCTCCGTATTTTTGT